TTATTCATTTTGAGGAATACTGAATCTGTTTTTTTTTTTTTTTTGTGAGTGAGATAATGCATATTCATATTTATTTAACTACAGTAACATCTCATTTCTCGGGGATTTTCATGGGGACAGGAGAGCTGTCAATCAATAAATTGAAAAAAAAAAGTAACTTGCATTTCTTATTTGAAAAAGTAACTCAGATATTCTCTTGTAAATTAAAAAGTAATGCGTTACTTTACTAGTTACTTGGAAAAAAGTAATCTGATTACGTAACTCGCGTTACTTGTAATGCGTTACCCCCAACACTGGGAATGAGGCCCTATACATTTGCACATATTTTCCTATAGATCAACCTTGAGGTTCCTTTTTTGTTGTGATGCTTGCTGCTGCTCAGTGGTGCCCCATAGTTGTGTCTAATGTTTCTACATTGTTCATGTACATGCTATAATGGCTTTCTTTCATGTTGTAGACCACGAAATAGCCACTGATTTACAGTTGAGATACAGGTTTTCACAAAAACAAAATAAATGATAAAATGATAAACCTCACAATTAAGCGTTTAAACCAGGGGTGAGCCAGATGTATAAATTATTATATTAACTTAAAACGGGTTATGTGGGTGGATTTTCGCATTGATCTGAACAAAAATTACAGACTGGATTATTGAAAATTAACATTCATTCTCTGCCAGTAGGAGGCGCTTTTGGAACGTCAGAAATATAGAATGAGAAAAGTGGAGATATATCCAGCTGCAGACCCGCAGCACCAGCAGTTTCAGAACCGCAGCCATAGAACTGGAAGTGAGGGGCGGAGTTATTGCCAATGAGAGAGCACGGTGAGTAGTCTGTAATGTTTTTGCTGTCATATGTTTGATAATTATCGTATATATTACGTTAAACATTTATCTGCTAAGTACTTAATGTGTGCTTGGCTTTATTATCTTATATTGAAACTTGAATTTGTTGTCATACTTTATAGTATATAACTTTTTTCTGTGGATGTTTAGATTAATTTTCGGATGCATGCTGTAAATGGGCCTTGTGGTTTTGAAGACGTTTATTATTCATAAAAATAAATCGTTTGCTTTAATTTCCTCTGTTATATGCATTGTTTGTGTGTTAATATTACTTTGTAGTTTAGTTATTTTAATCCAATTTGTCATCATTGAGATAATTGTGTGTGGCTTCATCTCTTGTAGAGACATATAAGGATTCAGAGAGTTGACGCATTACCTGAGCTGCAGCAGTGCAACAAGTGTTACAGCAATTACCAGCAGTTTTCTGATTGACCAGCATGTTTAAGCCAGCCAAACTAGTCAAATGAATAAGTCATCTTCAAATCCACTTCAACATGCAGTTGTCTGTGGAGGTATGCATATCTTGAGTTGTTTGTTTAATGCACTCACAATTTATTATTGCATAATAGTTTACCTGTGTACTTATTTATTTATTTTAGGCTATACTATACATTTTTGCAACCAGTTATTGGTGTGATTATTTAGTTGTTAAATAAGGAACAAGGAAGGTTTTTTTTGTGCCATTTACAGGGAGAATATTCTTATTTTTTGTTGTTTTCCAGTACATCTTGTCTTGGGAGCACCCTTTGATTTTACATCTGTAAGTAGTTATCATTTAAAATAATTGACCTTTATGATGTTGTAGCAGTTGATATTTAAAGATTTCTCTATGTTTGTGTCTTCCAGTGTGACATTCCAATCATACGGAGATGGTGGACTCCAAATGGTTTTCTCTGAAAGGTACTGGACATTTCCTCCTTCTGACCAATTTGAAATTAACCAAGAAACATGTATAATACAGTGCAGAAACCCTACAAGAGGCCCTTCCAATTGGATAACAGGCTACGCTTGTGAGGTATGTCTCAAATCTATCTATCTATCTATCTATCTATCTATCTATCTATCTATCTATAC